AGACTGGGCCGCGCCTGCTCCCCTACCCCCGCTTACCTGCTGCCTGCTTCAGGCTTCCCGCGAATCAAATGTTCGCGGGAAGCAGGGGAGGGGGCGGAGTTGGGGCCTGGGCGGGGCTGGGGGCAGGGCTGGGGCCCTGTGCAGTGTCCTCTTCTTGGACACTCAAAATATGGTAACCCTAACCTATTGTATTCGTGGATCAACAGAATAGGAGCAAAACAATCTGAAAAAGTAGCTTTTCTTCTATCCCGTGTGTGTTCTTGTCACAATCTTGTCTTTTAAGTTACTCTAAAAGGAAATGGGATGGGAGAACTCATAAAATAGGGCCCCAAATAGTAAACACATACAATATTACTGCATAAAACCCTTGTCTCCCATCACATGGAATTATTTCACTGACTTTCCAATGTATATCACATTTTACAGACACATTATGGTTAGGTATTAAATTTCACACACTTAAGGCAGTTCTGCACTACAGCACTGCAACTGTGCAGCTGCACTACTGTAATACTTCAGTGAAGGGGCTACTGTACTGACGGGAGAGCTTGTCTCATCGGCATAGTTAATCCACCTCCTCAAGATGGTATCTATGTCGGTGGGAAAGCTTCTCCCATCCACACAGTATTTTCTACACCAAGGGTTAGGTCAGTATAACTGCATCATTTGGGGTGTGGATTTTTCACACTTCTGAGCAACATACCGGTAGTTCTACCAATGTAAATGTATAATGTAGACTCAGCCTAAAGGCTTGATCTTTCAAAACACTCCTGGGTGTGGTTCCTACTATCACAAGTACCTCAGCTGAATTCTCAGCACTTCTCTTAATAGTAATCATTGTGCTCTGTATGTTTCTGAAGGTAAAACTCATAAAATCTACCATTCATTTTGCTCTTTTTCCTTTTCTGAAAGATGTTGTTTTGCACAGTATTTTTCCACATTCAGGAGTTATGTATTTTGTTTTGTTAGGTATTAAATGTGTGTGTGTGTGTGTGTATATATATATAATATATATTGTTAGATTGAACAATATTATTTTTAATAGAACTAATGACCTAGAGGTTTATTGTTGTCTGCTTGACCTACACCTAGCTTGTAGTAAGTTTTTGTAATGTTCGGTAACAATAAGTGGATGTAGTGTATAATAAAATGTTCAACAATAGTACTTGCAAAACTGCACGACTTATTTTTGGATTTAGTGAGCAGCCTTATTACACTGATTGCTGAAATATATTGACTAGAGGAAAGCTAAAATTTCATGCAGATTAAATACATTTTGAAAATACTGATAGTTTCAGTTATGAAAGTCTGAAGAGTTGGTAAAATACACTCTCATATCTTGGTTATTTGGGTTGCCTATTGACACTGGATGATGGTGGTGGTAGTATTACTTCATACCCAAAGATTTTTTTATAGTTTGGATTGAATATATCGCTTTTCCTTAGTGTATTTGAATTTAATATTTAATATCTTGATTTAATATAACAATTCCATTGTTAATAAATAGGAAGATGATAATTTGTATTGCAACACAACTTGTGTGTTGCAAAACAAACCTGGATTTTATGTGGAAATACCTCACATTTTATAGGCTGCTGATTATATAGAATGTTCATATCTTAATACCACATATAAAAATTCAAAAATTCACTGCATATTTTGGCCCTTACCCTATGAACATATATACATCTGAGTCACTTTACCCAGATGAGTAGCCCCATTGAGTTCAGTGGGACTGCTCACGTGCCTAAATGTTCGTACAACTGGGGACTTGGTACAATATAAACAATATGGAAATGAGAGTTTATACTGCTCAAGTCCATACAGAATGGAACTCTGATTTTTAAAATGAAAAATTTGTACCTTTTTAAGTGTATGTTCAGGTTATATACAGAATGATTGTATACACTCATTGATCCTCATTGAAAGAAATAAAAGCCTTTATTTTTCTGCCCAATTTTATTAGTGAATGAACAAAAATACCCTGCTTCTCACTTGGATTATTTGCATAAAAATCCCTTAACTATAGTAAAATCCTCCCAGTGGGGGGTGGATTAAATGTGAACTGCAAGGGTATGTCTATACTGGAGGTAGGAGCATGCCTCCCAGCCTGTAGACAGACACGTTAGCCGAGCTTGAGCTAACACGCTAAAAATAGAAGCGTGGATGCCGTGGCACAGGCTAGCTGCCTTGATTACAATTCCACCCAACCTCCTGGGTCTGAGCTCAGGTGGCTACCACGAGCCACCACCTGTGCCACAATGTCCACGCTGCTATCTTTAGCGTATTAGCTTGAGCAGAGCTAACATCTCTGTCTACCAGGGCTGGGAGGTACGCTTTTGCTGCAGAGTAGACATACCTCTATGCTATGCTAAGACTGCCTGGGTTTTTTTGTCTGTATTTTTACAGACTAGTTAGTCTTACATTAGAAATCAAAATCTTCACTTCCCTGTTTTTGCTGGAGGGCTCTCCAGTGCACTGGAGAGCTATAGCGGGAGAGGGACATCACACTCACCTGCAACTGTGTGCTGCAACTTTCCCAGCCTTCAGTTAAGAAGAAGGAAGACACCGAGTCAGACTGTTTAAAAAATTTTAGGGGGGAGACTTGTTTTTGGTTTAGATAGAGTTAACACAAAAGAGCTTTTTAAACACTCTGACTCAACATCCCCTCTCCCCTCAGTTGAAGGCTGGACAGCTGCAGGTCAGGTTCAGCTGTATGTGATCTCACTTGCCCATCCTAGCTTTCCAAAGTCCTCCAGTAAAAACAGGGAAGTCAAGATTTGCAATTCCCATTATTTTCTTATGTGGAAAAAATAGAATTGTTTGAAAGGTTTGGGTGATAAAGGAAAGCTTTGAGGTCACCCTTATTACATCATGAAAGAGTAGTAAAAGATAAGTAACATTTTTTTCTTTGAAGTTAAATATAAGACTAATTAGTGCCTGAATCCACCAAAAATATTTCCCAAGTTTCAGGGCCCATTAGTTAGATATTTCCTCCAGCACCCAATCAGACTTGCCTCATTCCTGTTCTTCTCATTCACTGCCCTTCCCTCGGTCCCTACCTCCACTCCCTCCAGAAAGCATCAAATAACTTTATTTTCCCCACAAACGTTTTTTGCCTCTTACAGTTCTGTTGTTCTTTCTTGTACCCTCTTGTTCAGGGATGAGTTACCAGGTCCAAATTCAAAAGCAAACAAATTTCTCTAGCCATTTTCAGTTTTAGTGACCCTAGATTTTACTGTTAACGTTAGTAGGGTAAAATATTTTCAGATGGGTGTGACTTAATTTTGAAGATGTACCCTTAATAGGTCTCTTTGATGGTGTTACTTTCTAATAAAACTTTTGTGTTTGTAGGGGTACCCATATACTATGTTTCTATTATCCTAGTATAAAGAAAACTCTTGATGTATTTATTGCATCATTAGAAGTTGGTTTATTCTGCAATTTAAAAAAAGTAGTATTGTATAATTTGTTCTCCAAATCAGCAAGCTAACTGTAGATCAATGATAGTGAAGACTGTTTCAATATTCTACTGCACTAAAATGATATTTTTTGTTGCAGGCAAACTGAATGTAAGCCAGATGCACCAGCAGTTACTTATGCAACATATCGGGGTTCTGTACGGATTAAGCAGCTACTAAAGAAACAAGCAGAGGAGGCACTAAGAAGAGAAGAAAATACTGAAGGCAAACATATTTTCACTGTGACTGGAAATGGAGAAGTCCAAACTGCTATCCTTCCAAACTCACCATCTAATGTAAGCGTAGAAATTACAGAACACATGTCAAAAGAGAATCAAAAGGATGATGCTAAAGATGGCAAGGAAAATGTTGAAGCAAACCTCTCTGCAGTTAAAATGGAATTGAAAAAAACAGATGTTGCTAAGGATATCTTAGATAGCAGTGAACATGGAACAATTGAAAACACCTCTGCCTCATCCACTGAAACAAACTCCAACAGCAGTCACATTGGAGAACTAGATTTGTTTGTTTCCTTAAATCATGCTCCAGTTTCTGATACACCAGAAGTTAATAGAACTCATTTTCTAGACTCAGTATTGTCAGCCAGAGACAACAGTAGTTCCAATTACCAGATTATGGATTCTCTTAAAACAAATTCTGGAAACAACAGCTTGGCTGAAAAGGGGGAGAGAACGTTAGAAGAAACAGAAGCTCAGTTTCAATCAGACAATAATGCCACTTTTAGCTTTGATAAAGGAATAAATTCTTGTGTTCAAGTATCTCATGAAGACTCTCAGGAGACAATGCAAAATGATTGTGTGTGTTCATCCAAAACAAAGAGAGGGGCAGTTGATAAAGAACTACCATTGATAGAGGGTGAATATGCCTGTAATAGTCATATTGGTAGTCAGTTGGCGCTAAAGTTGGATGTCCAGATGTCCCCCTTTAGTAGCACTGCATTTCAACATCAGGCAGATGAGTGTGTAGAAAATGCAAATAAAGATAGTGGTCCAAAGATGGATGATTCAGAAAAATATGTGGTGGCTGAAGAAAGGGAGCAAGAAACACAAACCTGTCTAGCTAGTGTTCATTTTCCTTTAAATCAAGAAAGATGTACTGAAAAGTTATCGGAGGCTGTGAAGGACATAAAATTTTGTGGAGTCAATAAATTGATGGTAATAGACAGTCTACCCACTTCAGTGCCCTCTGCCAAAACTGTTAAAGATACTGGCATGGACATAGTAAACAGTCCAGATATTAAACAGTTTAATGAGTCAGGGAAACCAACACATGTCCAAAATGACCCCTCTGTAACTCTTGAGGGTGAATCTAAGGATATCAATACAGAGAACACTTCCGTACCTTCCCTTGAATCTGAAGACGTTGAAACCACTAAGGTTTCATCTAAGTCTGCAGAGGTAAATGTTGCTGGCATATCTCCATCAGCCATTGAATGTGGAAGTGTGAAGTCACATTTGCCACCTCCTATCGTAGAATCTGAAGATGCCAACCTTAGCAAAGCTATAACACCTGTCAGTATCGCCAAGATTTCTCCTCCAGTCCCTGACATTGAAGATGGTAGCTTGGCTAATATTCCTTCTCCTATCCACAGATCTGAAGATGAAACCATGGCCAAAAAAGCAACCAACGTACAAGATGTTAAAAAAAACAACATTTCTCCCCCTGATCATGTGCGTGAAAATAGCATGCCTCTTAAATCTGAAGGGATGACCCTCCCCAACAACGTAGTTTCTGCCAGGGTGCCCAACCTTACTACTCCTTCCCTTAAAACTGGTGAAGTCTTTGTAGCCAAAACATCAGTTTTATCCACAGAGGATAATAGGTCAAAGAATACTTCTCAAACCCATGAAACCAGAGATAAGAGGGTAGAGGAGATTGTTCCTAAAACTGTGAATGCCAATATGACCAATATTTCTCCTCCACCCTCTCAGTCTAAAGAAATCTGTTTCTCTAAGCTTTCCTCTCCTGCTCTTAAATCAGAAGTGAATACCTTTTTTGAGGTTCCTCATTCTCCCCTGGGGTCTGGAAAGGATGCTTTGACCAATCATTCTTCTGTCTTTGAAAAGGGTGCCGGTTTGGAGGTTATTTCAGTGACAACACCTAATTCTGAAGATAGCAATCTGGTGAAGATTTCTGCTAAACAGGAAAACAGTAACAAGTCTAAGACGGGACCTGCCATACTTAATTCTATAGACTTCAGCCAGTGCAAAATACCTTCTTCTGCTTCTAAATCCGAAAATGTCCAAATTGCCAAATTATCGGTTACGTCTGACAAGGTCAGTGAATCCAAATGCGCTTTTCTTGAAGGTGATACACCTAAGATGGTGGCTTCTTTCTTGGAAAATGGAGATGTCAGTGCACCTACAGTTATTTTTCCTGCACTTGAAAATGCAGATGTCAGTATGACTCAGATTTCACCTTGCTCTGAAGACATCAGTGCTAAGCATAAATCTTTTCCCCTAGAATCTGATGTCATTTTAGCTGAAAGTGACTATTCTACTCCTAACTCAGAGGATATTTGCATTCCCAAGCTTCCTTCTCCTACTCTGAAGTCTAAAGAAATCTCCAAGCTTTGTCGTTCTTCCCTTGAAACAGCAGATGGCTTGGACAGTATTAATTTCCCTATTGTTGAGTATGAAGTTGTTAAAAAGGGCAAAATTTCATCCAGATTTAGAGTTAATGATGAGACTGATTATGTACCTCCAGATGTACCTCCTGCCCAAAAGCTTGAAGATGTCTGGTTAACCAAATCCATAACATCAACTACCTGTCCTTTGGAACTTGTGGAAGTGAGTTCTAGTGTAGACTATACTAAGGATGTGCACAAAATTCCTACAGAGCAAGTAAATCTTTGCGACCATATTCCTGCAATGACAAAAAAACGAGCTAAAATGAATGATCACACGGCTTCGTTTACGAAATCAAGCAACGTCTGTTCTCAGAAAACATGGGAAGATATGGAAACAGGAAAGCAAGTGCACACTGAATCCCAAGACACTGCTCTATTTAAAAAGGCTGAAGAAATCGTTGATGCGGTTTTACACTTGGCCATAGAAGAAATAAGATCAAAACAAGCAGCTGGTGTCTATCAGCCTTGTGGCAACAAGGACAGTTTAATAAAGCTGGATATCCTAAAAGAACAGAAAACTGGAAAGATACAGTTGGAAGCAAAAGTAAAACATTTTAATGAGAGCTATGCAGGAAGCTCCTCTGAAGTTAAAGGAAAGGAAACAGTTGCTACAAATACTCAGGCTGAAAAGATACCATTTAACATCACTCATAAAACTGACCTACATAGTTCAATAGCACTAAAAGCAAAAGAAATAATTGATGAAGTTATTAACTCAGCCAAACAAAAACTGATGTTTAATCAGCTTGAAAACAGTGAGAGTAAGAGCCCTTCTAAAAATGTTGTGCTTAAACATAAGGCTGGATTCTCAGAGACTCTAAACACTGATGTTCAATTAGCTGCCAAAACTCAAGAAATAATCAAAGAACCCTTGGGTTTAAACCAAATAGGCAAGGAATTGACCCAGAATGTTGCTAGGGACTGTGAAAAATCAGGCTGTTCAGTTCCTTTACTTCTAAATAGTGTAGAAGGCAGCACAGATTTGACCATAGGAGGAGAAACGGTACCAAATAATGTACTTTCACATCAAAGAAATGGACTTCTACATTCTGATGATTTAGCAAGTCTGGAATCTGACCTTGCAATAATAGCAAAAGATGAATGCTCTAAAACTGTCTATGATAGTACAGTTATGACAGAAATTGGTGATAAAACTAGCATTTGGACAGCTAGCAATAAATCTGAGGAGACTTTACATGTATTAAATGGAGATACTGTTATGATTGAAGAGAGGATGCCACCATTACAGTTAAAAGATTTGTGCAATAATACAAATGTGCCAGAACACACATCAATGCCAAACTTGACTTTTAATTCATCATCTTTCCTGCATGATGAAGACTATACCTGCATACCTAGCAAATCCAAAGATGAAAGTAGTCTTTCAGGTTTAGACAAAAGTTGTGCAGGTAAATGTCTGCCAGAACTTTGTTGCAAGGAGGAGGATTCTGTGTTTGTACAGGAAAAAGCAAACCCAAAAGATTCACAAGCTGACAGTGAAGAAGGCAGTGGAAAAACAGAGGAAGCAAATGAGATACCGCAGGATAAAAACAGATTAAACACACAGTTCATTGTGTCTGAATCATCTGTAACCGTTAAGGACATTGAAGGGAAAATTTGTTTCAACTCAGATTTTGCCAATAAAGATGAGACACTGAAATCAACACTGATGATGGATCAAGATTTACAAAGAGATAACACACTTGGAGAAGAGTGTCTGAATAATAATAATGATACAGAGGAACTGACAAATCTCTTAGTCTTTTCTCCACAAGATGAACAGTGGGAAAGCAGTTCTTTATTTACCGTATTGTACGATGGCTCCCCTCAAGATGAGAACCAGTTCGTTTCAACTGACAAAAAGCAAGTTCACTCCATCTCTCCTCCTGACCTGTCTCTGGATAATATTGAACATCTTTTGATGTGTGAAACAGCAAAGAGCAAATATGAGCCTGTCGATGCTTATGAAAAGGACAACAAATTAAATGAAACATTAGATAACTGCAGCTCAGAGTCATTTATGACAGTGGAGGCAAAGCGGTTTAAAATTTACCCGTTCTCTTTGTCTCCTATATATGAAGATGACAGCCCACAAGAAGACCAGCTGTCTATTGATGTCTCACCAGGAGACCATTCTAATGGAAAATCCAAAGACGATGCCAACCATTCCTCATCCGTCTTGTCACTTCTTCAGTCAGTTTCTGAGCGTTTGAAATTTAGTAACCAGTTCAGTGAGGAGGATGAGGAGGAATCTTATGAAGAAAACATGATAGATGTTAAGAAAGAAGATTCTATTATGAGCCAGTGGGCAGGCAGCTCAAACATGGTGCTTCTAGAAAATGACCAAGAAAGGGCTCCACTTTCCAAACAGTCACTCATGTATTCAAAAGAACCGCTTCGCTCTAGACAGCAATCAGAGCCATTTCCAGAAGAAGCATGTCTTTTTCCTAATCCGACACATTCTACTCAGTTTCAACAGAAAGCTGATGCTGCCACGAAACCTCTCTCTAGGAGTGTGTATTACCAGTATTTTCAGACAGCCAGCAATTATTCGTGTGAGAAGGGAGTCAGATTTGGAAGTGTCCTTCAGGATGGATTATTGCCAAGGGGTCATAAGCCTCAAGACAATAATTTGCCAGAATCAGGAGCTTTTCCAGTGGTAAGTTGTCATGTTATGTAAGTAATAACTAAAATGATGATGAACCCCGTTGCAATTACCATCCTTTAATAAAAATCTTAACTGTCTTATCTAAATTCATTCAGTTGTAGGGTACGAGGTAAGCCTATGATTGCAGACAATTACGTTTTCTCATTGAAGCATTTTATAAATAAAATGCACCCAGTTACTGGGGCAAGATCATAAACAGTAGAGGAGATCCTGCAGCTTCTAACAGTAAAACAGCAAGTAAATAAAAAATATGCTCAATAATAGCAACATACAGGCTTGTCCTTTGAATGGCATTTTAAATGTGAAGATGACTGGGACAAGGCACACAGAGAGTTCAAGGAGGGGAACAAAATTGTCTTTATATGAAAAACTGTTCTTTTACATTTACTCTACTTTTATTTTATTGTTCCTTTGCTCTCTGAGAATATGGTTCAGTGTTTAGTGTATCCTTCAATTCTTCTGTAGGCTCCAACTCAGGCTATGTCTACACTTACAGTGGCATGTGAGTACAGGCATTGCACACCCCCACCCCCAGCATGGGTATAAATAGTGTAGATGGGAAGCACTGCTTATGTGAGTAGAGTACAGACACATCAGAATATTAGGGTGTATGCTCTACACATCCAAGCAGTGCCTCCCATGTCTACACTGCTGTTTTAGAAGTGCAGTATCCAGTGGGCTCCTCCCTGATGGAGCCTTTCCCCACCTCAGCGAAAGGCTCCTACAGCAGGAAAATGCTCTGGCAGTTGGGGAGGCAACTGGAAAAGGCTTCAGCATCTTCCCACTGCCAGAGCCTCTCACTGCTGCGCGTAGCTACGTATCACAGTGTGCACACAACCTGCTTTTCACTGTGCTACATGTACCATACACTCTGCCACAAGTGTAGACAAGGCCTCAGCTGCAGTCAAATATTCAAGCTCTTTCTACAGATTAGCACTCTTGTTTCGGTTTATTTAAAGCAAGGTCAGTTGAGAGGAGAGAAGTAGTATTTTGTGATGATTTGGGGAAATGGAAGAGAGTGCTTACAATTAAGAGTGTCATAGCCTGAAGAAATAAGCTCTGGTGTGGTACAATATCTCTCTTTTCTAGTTTGGGGAAGGGGTGTGTGAAAGGAAATAGTTCTACATGGTTTTGATTTTTGTTCAAGCTCTCCTAATCTAATATTTGTGGGGTTTTTAAGGATTATTTATTTGACCCACTGCATTAAACTGCCTAGGCCTAATTTGCATAACAATGAGACTAGGATCAGCTGTTGTCACTAATTAAAGTAATATGTTTTAAAGGAATACTGGTCTTAAACAATTTTGTGCGCTACTATTGTAGTTTTAATAGTTATTTTCCACATCATTTTAATTTCAGAATCTTATTGACAGGAAAAGCCTCAAAAGCAATCCCAGACCAGGAAAAGTAAGTATGATCTTGTCACGGTGTAGGTGAATATGGATTAAATCACCATTAATATTTTAAGGAGTAGCAAAATTTTGAAAGAAAACATGTTATGTCAAATTTGAGTACTTGTAATGCTGCACATGCTAATCATGAGATTAGATGCAAAAAAATTCCAGCCTAGGGGAAACCTACTTAGTTTGTCTAATTATTTAGTTCAGCAGTCTACAGTTGAAGAAAATATGTGCAATGCTGGTAGCGCATATACAAAATCAGAATCTGTTTAATAAAAAGCAAAAATTAGGAACCTAATCCATGTGTTGAAGTGCCCCTTGTTCACATATAATGTCTATTGTTTTAGATGATTATTTATGACATTCCTGGGGAGAAAAGTAAACGAGAAATATACCATGATCTACCAGATGCCACATCCTGGATCTTTCCAATAGGAACATTGCTTAGAGTTATTAGAGGATGGTAAGAAATTCATTCCTTATTTAAATGGCATCTTTTCAGAAGATAAATGTGTGTATTTTTCTTGTACCTCTGCCTCAGTTATTTATAACACAAACCTGATATGCAGGGCATCTTTTCTTGGTTTATAATTACAGTGACATTTACAAGTAAAGCAATATGGTAAGTATTCCCTCTGCTGGGAACTAGCTTAAAGCAGAAGGAAGTTTGTTTTGTAACCAAAGCTAAGTTTTCACAGTTTAATTTCATTAACCAAGTGATGTTGCAAAATGAGCTGTAGACATACATGCTCAACTGCTGTTTGAAACATGGCATTAAAAAGGGAGCATAGAAGTAGTGGGATACAAAAGAATATTTAGGATAGACTATATGAATCTTTCTAAATCCATTTGCAAAGCTTTAGTGCACAATGAGATAATAGATGCTTTGGAAAGCTAAGGCTTGGAAAGCATCTGTCATACATGTGTGCCCACAGTTATTTTATAGAGCATAGACTTCTTGACGTAAGTCCATCATACCATTCAACTCCTCCACACCATAATACCGTTTCATGGTAACATTAATATAGTTTGAGACTGGCCCAGTTATTTCTTATGTTTTATGCTTGTTTAGTAACCACTGGATGCCATAGTGGTAGTTGCATGTTTTACCATTATATGAAATCCAGGACCCGGCTTAGTTAATTTGTCTGAACTAGGAAAGTAGGATGTTTAATTTGCTTAGCTTTTTCACTTACTGGTTAGATTTCTGCAAATAAGGCTTTTAATCATGCTGGTTAGTTTGGGAAACCGAGCTATATAATAGAAGAGAAGCAATGCCTATTTTATTTTATTTTTTAGTACAGAAATGAAGCACAACTTACGTTTAACAAGTGGAATATGAATAGAAAGGGACAGTGCCTGAAGGGGTACTGATAACGGGCTTACTGGAAAGAGCTCTCTACAGAACTTGCCTAGCATGAGTATTGTATTGCCATGGTTCTAGTCTGCATAATAGTTACAATTCTCTTAATGATTTCATTATTACAGCTGGATTTTGTATGAAAAACCAAAATTTCAAGGAGAGAAATATGTGCTAGAAGAAGGAGAAATGGTCCTGAATAGTCTTTGGGATCTTCGGGACATGAAACGCCATCCAAGGAACCTTGCAGTTGGTTCTATCAAACACGTAACAAAGGTATAGACTTGGTTGATAATAAGACACAAAATGCAAACGTTAACATCAATACTAGCAGTGTCCTTGTAAGAATGGACGCTGCATGTCTGCTGTAGGTTTCCTGTCTCGTTGTCTTCAGACTAGTGGCCAGCGGACCTTCAGACTGTTGACACAAGTCTCAGAGTTTTGGCTGCTTCTCTGAACCTTTTGAGCCTTACCTCTCTGTCCAATTCTTCACCTTTCTTCTTCCCAACCCAAGACTGTAGTCTTCACTTTCTTCTTAAGTGCCTGAGTCTACTTATCTTCCTCTGAATGTAACAAGCAGATAGTTTATATGCTCTTGCCCCACAAAAACCCTCAGTCTGACTCATAAACAAGGTGCCCCTTCTTTATCACAGATATTTGATTGCCCAATTAATTTAAGTAATAGGAATTAATTCTGATACTTTGTTACAAACATTTTCTGTTAAACATTGGACTGTCCATAACAGTCTGTCTGGTTCTCTAATGGTTGCTAATTATTATCTGTACCAAATATCCTCTAAAAATTACGCCTTACCATTTTCCCATATAGTTTTATTCATAGCTACTGTAATACTCTTGCTGATAATATACTGATGGGTGTAATAGACTTAAGATGATTAGATAAGACACAGTTTAGAAACAAGACCGACTCTGATGTTCAGTTAAGTGAGTCCCTTTTGAATAGGTAAAAGCCAGATTTCACTTGTGGAAATAAAATATGGGACTGGAAAAACACACCACATAACTCAAATAACAAACTCAAAACATGAACCTCAGCCTAAACTTTTTCTCCCCAAGCTTGGCTGGTCCCAGGATCTCCCTGTAGAATCTACTCTATGCCAGCTCTAGTCACCTCTGCTACAGAGAAATGTCTTGTCTTGTATTTTGATTAGAGTTAAAATCCACCTGCCAATGTGAGTCAGCAGTTGTTACTCAGAGGAGCATTATATTCTTATGTAGCATTTTAGAAACTGCCCCTGTTACAGTATCCTTTGTCAGTAAAATGGGGAAGTAATGGGTCTAAACACCATGATGTTCACTGGGTATTCTAGTATTTATCAAGCTTCATTGCATATCATCCATGTGGTTTGTCAAGTGTATACCAACTTGCTGTCATGATACTTCAGTTTCTAATATGCACAATCCCAAGTCTGTAGTTAGAATTCACTATCGAATCTAAATATGGCTAAAGGGAAGAGATCTGCTTTTCTTAGGATTTCAGCCCAAACTATATACTATTACTTACATGTAATATAGGTGCTTTTTCTGTATCCATGTAACGTACGTACTCAGCATCACAATACTAGCCAAAGATTCAGCTGGGATTCATAAGGGTTAGTGGAACACATGCAAAATATGATTGTATTGGCACCCAGAAATTAAAAAGCCACTTTATTTAAAAAAAAATCAAGAGCATAAAACTAAACATAATGCATCTGTTATTGTTCATTGAAAGAGCAATATATTTACCAGACCTTGTGATTTAAAAAAAATCTGCACTCATTTTGTTGAGCACAGCATTCTAAAAGTTCACATGGTGAGAGCCCTTTATTGTGAATGAATTGTGACTTGTATTAAAATGTGAAAGTGTCTTATTAAAATAGGTATTTTTGCATCTCTACTGGTCTACTAATCATTTCAAAATGTATAATATTTGTGTCACCAGTGAGACATGGGCATAATATCAAACCACTGATGGTAAACAAGTTTCAATCCCACTTAAAGATATTGAAAAGAAAAAGAGAAATTCAAAAGAAGTCAACTGAGGACATGACTTATGAGAACAGTGAACTTAATTTGTCTAGTGCAATAAGCTGATGCTAAGAGAAACATTACAGGACAGAATATGAATTATGAATATTGGAAAAGAAGCAACGAATTACTGAAATTCAGCACCAGTAATAAAATAAGGAACTATGGGCTAAGATTAGAGGAGGATGAATGTATCCAGAACAGGGGTGGGCAAACTACGGGCCACATCCGGCCTGCCAGACGATTTAATCCAGCCCTTGAGCTCTCACTGGGGAGCGGGGTCAGGGGCTGCTCCATGTGCATGTGCTGCAGCTCCCAGAAGCAGCAGCATGTCCCCCCTCTGGCTCCTATGCAGAGGAGCAGCCAGGCGACCCTGCATGCTGCCCCCGCCCCAAGCGTCCGCCCCCGCAGCTCCCATTGGCTGGGGACTGCAGCCAATGGAAGCTGCGGGGGCGGTGCCTGCGGACGGGGCAGCTCGCAGAACCGCCTGGCTGCGCTGCCGCATAGGAGCTGGAGAGGGGGACTGGCTGTTGCTTCTGGGAGCTGCTTGAGGTAAGCGCTGCCTGGAGCCTGCACCCCCTCCTGCGCCCCAACCCCCTACCCCAGTCCTGATCCCCCTCCCACCCTCCAAACCCCTC